GAATTTTGTGCTAAACTCATTTCTCAAGTTCAACCCCACTAACAAAGGGCTTGCTTGCAGCCAAACTTCACTGTACCCAAGGGCCCCGCTAAAAAAGACCAGTCATTACGGAAGGGTCATGTTACATCAGTCCAGCTCAGGCACAGATCTCAATAGCTCATTCTCAAATTGTGACTCAGGGAGAAAACTCCCCAAGCAATAAGGCTTTTATACAAAGAGGAGGCCACCATTTCCTGCAGCGCTGCATCTTCAGAGCTGAAACCTGCAGGTAATGGTTGTCCAAGCACGTACGCGCAGCAGCTCTCTGAAGCCTGCCCTTGCTATCTCCACGGTTGCACTCGTGAGCAAACGTGCTGCAGACACGTTGTAAACACCTCCCCAGCCCCGATTCTGATGGGAACCGTGTTCCTACGCAAAAAAAACATTACCAAAGAAAGAGACAGTCAGGGTGTAAAATTCTTACAGTGTTCACAAGGTAAAAAGAAAATCTGCGTGCAAAACGAGGGTGAACAGATTACACATCTATTGTTACTATAGTTTCTAGTACCAGTATGTTGGTAAACTTTTAGAAAGTTTTGATGTGAGCTGTAATAAACAGTTAAATAAAACCTCACAGTGTTTGTAAACAGTTGTTTGCAGCTGCATTGCTTTTGCAGGGGAAAGCACTAAAAGGGCTGATGGTACCTTTTGGACAAGCCTTGCTGTTCGCACACAGAGACCACAGGGCTCACGAGAGCCCCTCGCTCAGATTTCCCTTCACCGGTGCCACCGAAGGCTCTGCTGTGTTCAGAGTCAGTCCAGACCTACGTTAACTCCCTGCTTGACAGAGCCTCTTCCACTGCCTCTGGCATCCCCTATCCCAGTTTTACAGCAGCTGAGTGGAAAGCTGCCCTTGCACCCACGTTCTCAGCTGAGCCAGCCTGGGGAAGGCTTGGTTCAGAGCTGGCACACCCTTCCCCAAAGAGCAGACACTGCTTCTCCTGCAGCTGACTGCAGCCAGCCTGCTGAAATGGACACGAGAAGAAAGCAAAAGGAACCCTCCTTCACCGCAGAGGAAGCTGGGCTTTCCACTCAGTGACATCGTCCCCGTCTCCCCAAGGTTTGCACAGCCATCACATGCCTTGGCCCAAAGTGGGCTTCCCCACCAAGCGCTGACGCTGCCAGAGCTGCCCCCAGACACTGCAGCCCACGGGGAGACCTTCAGTGTCCCCCGTGGAGCTCTGCTCAGCCCCCCACACACTGCTACTGCGTCAGGCAGACGGGCTCCCCTTAGGCCACCGTGGAGGAGGCTCCAAGGCAGGTGCTGCAAGGAACAGGGAGGGGGCGTGCAGGCAAGGCCATGTCACCACTGTCCACAGCGCACGCTTGTGTGACCCCGGCCCCACGCTGTGCTCTGCAAACCAGGCTGGAGCAGACAACCTAGAGAAAGCCCTGGTCCCTGCAGAAGGCAAGCCCGAAGAAGGGGACACAAAGACCCCCACCACAGCACGCTGCTGTGCACGTCCTACGGGGTGACCGAGTCTCCCAGGAGACAGAGCTGGGGGGTTTCAGCAGAGCACCCGCT